CTCAATCCGTCCTCGTTCTAGGCCGATCGGAGATGAAGAATCTGGACAGCAGGTGAAAGCCGGGCGGCTTTCACGAAAGCCGGGCGGCTTTCGGGCTCTGCTACACGAGACAGCCTCTTTTACTTGGCGGTTTCCGGCGATTTCAACTCCTATCGATTCAACGATTCTTCTAGGTTAAATACCAACACTTTATATCATTTTTCTACACATTTAAACGTGTAGAACATCCCCTAGAATCCATCATATGATTTCTATAAAATCATATACGAAAAACATATTAAACGCAAGAACAAGAACCGGGGCTATGAAATTCTTACCGCTAGGCTTTATTTTCTAACGGATTCGCTTCTCTTCTTGGCCTCCCTTTCTCCCTGAGCTCTGGCTTGGTATGGAGATCTCTAAGGAACTCTTCAATCTCCCGTATAGCCTCTCAAATGAGAGGATAAGAGACCCCCCCTCCCTTATCTTTCTATTTTTAGAAAGTTGGGCCAATTTAGTTGGGTCGGGTTCACGGGCTGCTCTTTTTAATTTACTCCGACCCAAATGAATTTTATTCGTTTACTTATATTATTTTAGGCTAGTAGACCTCAATAGATCGATCCTAAAATGTGTTGGATATCCCTCTCCAATGTTACGGGCTTAAACCCCTTTACCTTTCTATTATTAGAAAGTGGCTCGAAAAGTCTCTTTATTTTATTCCTTCACCTTTTTCCCGGCCCAAACATTCGTATATAACTTATTTCCTTATCCTTGGGCTTTTAACTAAATTTTAACGTGGTCCAAGAATATACTAGTTAGTCCCTTCCCGTTTTCTTTAGGGTCCGACACACAATATAATTAATCGGTATTAATTTAATCAATTAATCATTTCTCATATGATTAATATTTTTGTAACTAGTTTTCAAAATGAATAAATATTCACGAACTCAACTAGTCATCCTCATCGACATTGGTATTTGTAATTTCTATTAAATTTTAATATTAATGGATAAATTAATCCCAGTTCAAATTGGGAGCGGTGTCACAGATTTAATCAGATCCCGGGTAGAAGTCACTGCATCTTGTCCAATAGTGCACGTTGAACCCTACCCAAGACCACTCACTTGTCTTCCAACAGACAGGTGTTCAATCATACTTCACGGGGAACCGCATCTCTCATTACTGTCTCCTTCCGAGACAAGTAATACTGACTACAGTGGCCTCAGCCCCATGCCACTGAACTTTCATTGATCACGTCGTGTCTAGTTACTCACTCCCAAATGTTTTGAAATTTTCTAGGACACATACGCACTTTTAGAGTCAGTTGCAGGTCTACATGACCCGCGAGAACTTCCATAGGGCTCATCTATTACAGATGTAGACCGATAATTGGAAGGAAGTCCTGCTGTTGCAACATAAGAATCACCAACATTTTCAGGCCATTGCTTTAGAGTTTATCTCTATAGTGATGAAAACGGGTGTCTTCACGACCCCGGGGGGCTTTTATCATTTACTCTTTCTGTTTGTTTCTTGTTTGTTCCGCAGAATAAAATAATAAAGGCATGACGCCCTGAGTCATCAGATCGTCATGAGGGGGAGAGTGTTCCACATGCTGTTAACTGTCAAAAAATCATTCTGGGACACTTCTCTCCTCCAACACTCTCTCTACTATCTCCGCAACTCAAATGGTCAGCTACGCTCACAAGTTAACCATCATTATGTTCCGTTGTGCTGCCGACAAGTTCTCCTCAAAAGCATTCATTCCAAATAGTCAAAAAGACTACGTTGTGGAGGAGACAGAGGTCAAATACTCGTGTCCTGAAGATGAATTCCATGGGCGTCTCCTATTCTCCAAAGAATATTCATTCTAGAGACGTCACCGGACTTCATCCAAGCTGATCAAGAGCAACTTCTGGAAGGCAAGGACTACATGCAAGATACTGAAGGTCCCTCAACCCCCGGCATCAAAGATCAAATTGTCAAGAAAACATCAAAGGGGAGATTGCAAGGATTTCTTCAGATAGCCTTCCTCAGAAGTCAAGTTCAAAGACAAAGGAAGCTGAATAACAACAAAGACAAAGATATATGCGTTGCAATGCTGATTCAACACGATTGAACACCAAGGGGGAGATTGTTAGGAATATTTTATGGTGTCCAATCTAATTAAATATCTTTGTATTTGTGTAGTTACTAATTAAACGTGTAATACGGACCACAAATGTGTATCAGCCCGGGGGCTTCCTTGTAACCCGTAAGTTAGCTAACTTCTCCTATAAAAGGAGGCTAACTTACGGGAACCTTAACCCATCGATAGAGACTTTAGAGACGTAGAGGCGAGATATAGAGAGTAGGGTTTCCGTTGCTCTCCTGCTCTCATACGGTATACCAGATTTGATTTTAATCTTCTCGATATCTTTCTATCTGCTTATTCTTCTTGTTATGGTTGTTTGATTGTTAATATCTGGACTATCCGTAAATAATTTTAACCTAACATTAATTGCGTAATTATTTAATCAATTAACATTAATCCGGAAAAAAACTCAAAAAAAATAAGAAACCTGTAGTTCACGGCGGAACATGACACGTATCATCATAATTCAATGATCATTATATAAGGGTCTGTGTCCTGTCATATCCCCTGAAAGTGCCATTTGAAAGTCTTGTTCAATACTTATTTCCCACACTTTCCAAGTTTACCTATGGTCTGAATGTGTGTTACATCAATAATGTATCTCAGATTTTCAATTTAATACTCCGTATGATATTTAGTTGACATGTTTGGACATACCACTCTGTTAACTTGCAATACTGAAGTCATTAACGTTGTTTGTACCACAATTACCTACTCAATTATGTTGCCAAGATGTTTAGATGATGACAACACGAATTCTGTTGAAGTTTGAGCAACAAATCAAAATAGTACTTGAAGGATGTTTTTACTTGGATTGCAATTTGGCTACGTAGCACGGAAACACGAAACGGGAAACGCGAAACGGGAAACGCGAAACGGGAAACGCGAAACGCGAGAAACGTAATTTCTACAAAATATAGGATACGAAACGTGGGGGAAACGCGTAAATATTAAAAATTATAAGGGTATATCTATAAATACTTTTTCATATATGTACATGATATTATCATAATTTGTTTAATGACCCAATAATAAAAACATTCCACATGTTCAAATTTTGAAATCACAACATATTAGTACATACTTAAACATATAATGTAATTCATTTCTAGCAATTCATTCCGTTACGAAATGTCTCAATGTTGCTATGAGGAAATATCACAAAAATTTACTATTTGTTTTTTAAAAAGACATTACTTTTACACCACAGAACTCTTAAGAAAGAGAAAATTGGAAATTAAGGGTTTCCGAAATGCTAAATATATAGGGAAACGGGTTTCTCCATTCTTCTTAATTACGGAAACGGCCCCGAAACGGGAATTTGAAGTTTCCGAAGTTCGGAAACGCTTCCGAGTTTCCGAAACGGGGAAACGTGAGCCGGAGAGAGTTTCCGTGCTTCATAGTAATTTGGTGATCTGGTTTGGTCTGTTCTGTTTAAGTCTTATCTGGTCTATTTAAGTCTAGTCTGGTCTGGTCTGAACTAGTCTGGTCTGGTAAACGTGTGGTCTATGTGTATTTTATAATTGTGAAAGTCAAGTTTTGGTCTGATCTATTTAAGTATGATCTGATCGATTTAAGTCTAGTATGGTCTGAATACATCTAATTATATCAATATATATATATATATCAAAGATGTTAATGGGTGAAAAAATCATATTACCATTTAAATGAACTCAAGTTTCTCTACGGTAAGAAAGTGTACCAATTGAAATCAAAATAAACATATACTACTATCTACTACGTACAAGTTTGCATTTTACGTAAAAAAAAATCTTTTACAAAGAACATTAGAGAATGTGGATATAACGGTATAAGAGCATCACCGATGGGTGACTGTTGACATTAAAAAAATGGCTTCATCATCGCAGTCTAACGTTTCGGTGATATATTCATCTCCAACGGAGTACGTTATCACCAATGTGATGATGACCTGTTAATCATTAATTAAAACAGTGTTAACATCACTGTCTTATGATAACATGGCCTTTGACATGATGAGTCACCAAAACGTGTGCGAGAAATACCGCCAATGTAGAAAATATCTCCCTCCCATGAAAAAATCTTCGGCCAAAATATTCATTTACGAGATAAGTAGTGGTAAAAATGATATCTCCCACTCACTTCTCTTCCCCCTTTTGGCCCCTGAGCAAAGCTTTTGTAGAGGTTCCTTCCAAGGTAGAAGCTTTTCTTCTTCACTGCATTTAATTTCTGGTAAATTAATAGATTCATCCATTTTTACAATAGTCTTTGGCTTTTGATCTCAAGAGAAATTGCTATGGAAGGTAGGAGAGTACGCAGGAGACAATATGTGGGAGGGTTTTAATCAAATATGATGTACCCATGAATTTTTAGCTTGTTAACTTGAAGCATTGCACTCCAACATGATGTGGATGACTATTCCATTCATTAATTGGCATGTGTCACAATTTATTTAATGTTAATGGTGTCCCATCCGTGATGCTCTAAGAAGTGCGTGGAAGAACAACCCTACTTTCTTTATGTTTTATGTGTCAACCGACTATTCGTAGACAACTAACGGTCTATTAGTAGACGTATACACCAAGTCCATACAAATAAATGTGTACAAACATTTTTTAATACTCCTTCATAACAATATTCTTGGAATGGGTGTTTTTGAGTGATCATTATTGGCCAACTCCAACTTATAAGGTGAATTCAAGTAATTTTTAAAATTTCCTAATAATTCCTCTTTCCCTAAAATTATCCTTTTATAGTGTTTTCTTTTGAACTGTTTTCAACCGTAAACCAGATCAGGCCACACTAGACTAGATTTTCGTAGTTATAAAATACACAGAAACCAGACATATACCAGACCAAACCAGATTAGTTCAGATCACATCAACAAATTCAAAATCAAAAGAAAACATCCTTAGTTATCGGTGCATCAAATATCCCCAAATCTTTTGAAAGCATAAATGAATATAAGTTTCATTTTTCATAATAATGTACAAACCATGCATTATAAGCACTCACTAAATTACAACCAGCCAAAATTGCTTCAAGGGCTCCCTACATTTTCTAATTTTTGTAATAAAGAAAATATCCGCAAATACTAATTCTTAGATAGGGGTGAAGGACAAATACATAGGATTAGAGGGAGCACTTCAAGCATATTTCCCACTCTTAGGGGCGTAACAATAATAATTTTGATTAGAATTTAAATTGTATTTTGACCCCTTAGTTCTCAAGAGATGACGAACCCTTGTCCACCAGCAACGCCGCCGTCTAGGAGATAAAACTCCGGTCACGTTCGCTTTACTCTTGCTCTTCTTTAGAACCAGTCCCCGAAGCTCCGGCGGCCGGTAAGTTCGGATCAGCGGCCACTTAACGCCGTTAAAGAACGGGTGCTGTTTAATCTCCGTCGCGCCCTTGGCGTAACCGAGCCTCCTCCGTGGGTCCTTCACTAACAGGCTCTCGATCAAATCCTTCGCCTCCGCCAATTCCGGCGCCTCCGTTTCTCTGTCAACCACGTGGAACCTCACTCCCTCCGTTGACGCTATATTCCGCAGCGTTGACTCTTTACTGCTCCCCTTAAACGGCGTCGTACCGAACAGCAGTTCGAAAACCAGAACCCCGAACGCCCACCAGTCAACTCCGTTCCCATGACCGTTCCCGTTAACCAACTCCGGCGCTAAGTACTCGTGGGTTCCGACACATGATCGCGAGAACGCCGTCGTTGGCTCAGCGACGAACTCCGCCACCGTTTCTTCCCGGCTGCGGGCACCCGAGAACCCGCACCCGGTTCCTGACCCGACCCGGACCCTGCTCTGTTTTTCAAAACGGGGGGAAATTTCGGATTTGAAGCAGAGGTCGAAGTCGGAGAGCATAATATGGCCGTCGTCCCGGATGAGGATGTTTTCCGGCTTCAGGTCTCTGTAGACAATACCCAGAGAGTGAAGATACTCCAATGCGACGAGCACCTCGGCGGCGTAGAATCGGACGGATTCAACCGGCAGCCTGTTTCCGGGCTGTTTCCGGAGCAGAGAGTGGAGGTCTCCATTGGAGCAGAAATCCATGAGGAGGCAGGTGTAGTGGGAGACTTCCAGATGGGCGTAGAGCGTAGGGAGGAAAGGGTGGTCCAGCACAGAGAGGATTTCCGCCTCCGTCTGGACCTGAGCCGCCTTCTTGGCGTTGAGCGCGTCCCGGTCGATGACTTTCAGGGCGAAATCGGAATGCTCGGAGTCCGTGAGGCGGCAGAGGAACACCCGGCCGAGGTTCCCTGACCCGACGAGGCGGTGGAGCTTCAGATGCCGGAGGTGGAGGGACCCATCGGAGGAGAGGGTGGTGGCGGCCTTGATGGCCGACCAGTTAGAGCCCTGCCGCCGGTGAGGGCGGGTGTGGAGGTTAGGGATGGAAGTGGAGGGGTTGGCGGCGGTTGAAGTGGTGGAAAGGCGGTCGTTGAAGCTGAGAGTTAAACTACTTCTGGCGAGGCTGCTCCGGGCGCTAAGGGTCCGGTCGGTTGTGCCGAGGGAAGCGGTGGAGCTGGTGAAGCTGTTGTCAAGATCGGAGTCCAACGGGTATATAGTATCATCTTCCATATATATCATTTTAAGGTTGTTCTAGCTTGGTACGCCTCTGGATATTTATAAGCGAGCTGAAAATGATGTGGTAATGATGAAGGTGCGATTTATGTGATATGGAAGATACAGCAGAGCAGAGTGGCGAGACATTGTTGTTTATAAAGCAGTGTCGAGTAGAATGGATGGGGGAGAAGCGAAAAGGTTGGTTGGGGGTCGGATGGAAACAAATACTCCCTTTTTCACTTTTTCCTCTCTTTTTTCTTTGTGTTCCATTTAAGAGTTTATTAGTACTCCATCTTCATGTTAATTTATTCAAGAAAGCTTTTTATACACACTCTTATACACATTTTTGTACACATCTATGTTTGTGAAAGGTTTTTTTTGTCTCTGAACATCGACTCACACATAATCTTTTGCACAAATAAAATATTGTTTGTGAACCGGATTCACAGACAAAAAAAAAGTTTCACAAACATGGTGTGTACAAGGGTGTGTACATCAAACAGTTTTGTAATTTATTATCCCCTCCTCCCTTAAACAAATTCCTAGATGAATTTCATACATATTAATGAAATAAAATTACTAGAGGATAAACTTTACTGTTTTGATATTGTTTCAATACTATTTAGAAACTATTTGACACCGTTTTGATGTAAATAATTTACCAAATAAGGAAGTATAATTAACGAAGCGGGAACTTAATTTGGGGACTGTCCAAAAAGAAAATGTAGAAGTTATTTTTGGGACGGGGTAGTATTATATTATTGCAAAAAGTTATTTATACACATAAGTTAAAGTTGTACACATTTCTTATACACCCCTAGTTGTCTGTCATACAGTTAGTTCATTCAAAATTTGATGTATACACAACAACTATGAAGTGTGAACAAGAAATATTTACGACTTATGTGTACAAGTAGCACCACCCTATATTAATTGTCTTTAATAGGAATAAAATAGTTGAGTACATTTTTTGCCTAGAATTGGAGTTAATCTCTAATCTTTTCTAAATATGAGTAAACATTAATTTTCTACCTCTAATGCCCTTAATCTAAATAATTTTTTGCCCCTTACTTTCCTTGGAAACCAGGTCATTCCATTGGCGGCGGACAATCATGTGGTGGTGGTGGTTGGTGCCGGCAACCAGCGGCAGAGCTCCAACGATTCATGGCAGTGGTGTCAAAATATTGACAAAGGGATTCTGAATTTTTTTTGGAGGCAGCATATTCCGTCAAAACACACTCCTACTTTTGCACTTCCTCCATGTTTTGCTCATAAGCCTCATATTGTGATATTAACTCTTATACCCGCACGGGTAGCTCAGTTGGTTTAGTGATGAAAAATTTGGAGCAAGTGACTAAGGTTCGAAATCCGCAGCGGTCGTGTGCAGGTCACAGAATCTGAAATAAGGCTGGGTCTCTGGTGCGCACGGGAAAAAAGCCTACCATCATTGGATCGACTGAGTCACCGTGATTAACATCCTCCCAAAAATTCTGTCAGGTCGGGGTTTGGGGGGCTCCTGGAGTGGGAGATTCCACCTTTTGGACCAAGTGATATTAACTCTTATTACTAGGGGTTGTTCTGAAAATGAGTGATCAATAAATGTTTGACTTCTTTGACTAAAATAGTTAACTTTAATTTTACGTCAAATTGAATATACTATACTTTAAGTCCGCGGTAATTATCTACGTTATAGCATTTATTGCCATAATTACTACATTTCTTGTCATATTTGTTACATTAAATAAAACTTATTCATGTCATTCACTATTCACTGTCCTAGAAATCCTTCAACACCGTCTTTAATTGTCTTCAAACTTGAGTTCGTCTTCATCCTCGACGACATTGGCTGAAGAATCTAAGTTGTTGGAGCAGCAGTCTAACGTCATTCTATGGGCACATCACCAACCCTAATTTCAAGAAATGAAAAAAGAAGATGAGGAAGAGGAGGCTAGTTTCAGGCAGGCAGCTAGCGAGCGGTGGACGAGCGGCTTGAAGCTGCATGCAGACGGCTAATGGCGGACAGGCAGCTAGGGAGCGGTGGACGAGCGGTTGGAAGCTGCAGTTGAACGGGCAGATAGCGAGCGGTGGACGAGCGGTTGGAAGCTGTAGGTGAACGGGCAACTAGCAAACGGTGGACGAGCGGCTGGAAGCTGCAGACAGACGGGCAGCTAGCGAGCGATGGACGAGCTGGTGGAAGCTGCAGACTGATGGCTAATGGCGGACGCGCGACTAGATCTAGTGGTTGGCGGTTGGACTCTTGTTGGTTAGAGTTTTATTACAATAAGTTAAGGGAATATTAGTCCAAATAATTTATTTATTAATTTATTTATTAAATACATTATTTATATATTATCAATTAAATATTATTTTGGAAAAAAACTAACTAGGTCATAGATTGGCTGATTGGGAAAGTGAGGAGTGTTAATCATATATAGAGTAATCATCTCTAAAACTATTTATACATGTCATTTCCATACACGCTCCATACAAGTACCTATGAAAGATACTTTTTGTGTGTGAATACATTGTTCACTCACAATGTGTTGTTCTTAATTTTCTTTAAAAGTTACTACTCTTACCATTTATACTCTTATTTAATATTAATACATTTATGATTGAAATATACTCCCTTCGTTCCTAAAAATTCTTCCCGGTTTGACTTGGCACGCTTATTAAGAAAGTGGAATAAAGTGGAAATGTATGGTTGTGATTGTGTAAGAAAAAGGTAAAATGAATGTGAGCCACACAAATTGTCCAAAATGGGAAAGTGAGAAGTATTTTTGAGAACAGCCCAAAAAGGAAAGTGAGAAGTATTTTTGGGAACAGAGGGAGTAACATTTTATAATCAATAATTAATTAATGCTTGCCTAGCCACCCTCACCAATTGTCTTTGCCCTCACACCGTCATCACCACACTCACACCACTGTTTTCGATAGTGATTCTGTTGACAATTACTATCATATCATACCAGATAGTGACTAACCTAAGGCACACCTAGGGTTGGTTCGGTATGGTATACCGAACTTTCCATGTCATACCGCATACCGTCCCGAGATATCGGTATTTGTAAATGTCATACTGTTACCATACCGAAACTTTCGGTATACCGAAAATTCGGTACGGTATGTAACCCATACCGTTTTATACCGAAAATTCACAATACTAAACTTGTAAGACGATTCCATACAAATCATCAGCATAAGAGGCCTACCGAACATCCATAAGATCTGATTTTTAATATGTTGAAAGTAGTATATGACATCAATTACATAAACTCATACCAAAACTAAAACACTATATTTAATCCAAAATAGAAAATACTAAAATTATGCGCTAATATCTCAAGTCTCAACACGATCCATAATGAAAATTAGAAAAGTTATCCAACATAAATCAATGATAATTAATGTTTGTGATAACAAATCTTTGAAAGTTGAACTCAAGGTCTTCATCACTTGGATCTTTATAAAAATTGAACTCTTCCGCTCTTAACCAATCATAGTGCACACTAATGCCTCCACCATTTTGGGACTCAAACAACTTCTAAAAGGATCCACAACTCCTTTTCCCAAACTAAATGCGGACTCACTAGCAACCGTTGAACTTCTAGAAGAAACATGAACGCATTATCTATAGCTTTAATCGAAGACTTAAGTTCATTCAACCCATCCTTAACAATTAAGTTAAGGATGTCACATTCACACCTCAAGTGCAAGTACTTGCCTTCAAAAAGCAATGTGTTCTTACTTTTCATTCTTTTTTTTTAAGTAATCAATTGTCGTGTCATTGAAAGAGCCAATTTCCCTCCCTTTTCCACCATTTCAAAAGATTGAAAGATGGATTAGATCTTTTTTCAATCTCATCACTTAGGTACTTTTCAACCTCATTCGATATCTCTTGAAGTTGCTCTTCTTCATTTTGTACCTCCACATCATTGAACAACTCATCCAAAAGGCCATCACCAGCTCCATCACTCTCTCCATCGTCCAATTGCACTTGCAAACTTTGTCTCTCCAAATTCAAGGTTTCACTCATTCATTTGTACTCCACCCACAAAGCTATCAAATCTTTTTTAAGTTTCTCAATGAAGTCTTGGACCTTTGTGGGATCACCTTGAATATTTTTAATGCTCACTTTAATCATTTGGAATTTGTTTCGAGGGTTCCAAAACATTGCTAATGAAAACCAAAGGATTCATATCATTCCAAACCCCCCAATATTTGTCAAATTTTAACTTCATTGCGCTAGCCACCTTGCTTAGAATTGGGTCAGGCTTATCACTCACCTTTTTTCAATCTCAATTTGGAGGGCAATCATTGATTGATAGATCAATTGAGAGGAATGCGTTTTTGTGTCACTCAACTCTAATGTAGCATCATAAAACTTTTTAAAAAAGTGAACAAAAGCCCATGCATTCTCCCAATATAAAGCATTTGGTGGTCCTACCCTTGCTTCAACCTTTTTTATTCTTCCCATTAAAATAACTCACAAAAGCACACCACTCTTGGGTCATCCTTTAAAACACCCTTCTATATTTCAAAGCAACATCGAGCATTTTGTAAGTTGCATTCCACCTTGTTTTGACATCCATTGACACGATTGACATATTAGAAAACTTGGCCAGGACGGCAAACTCCCTAAACTTACTCAACCTAGCCGGTGAAGAATGAAGAAACATGACCGCATTATCTATAGCTTTAATCGAAGACTTAAGTTAAGGAGTCCCTAAACTTACTCAACCCATCCTTAACAATTAAGTTAAGGATGTCACATGCACACCTCAAGTGCAAGTACTTGCCTTCAAAAAGCAATGTGTTCTCACTTTTCATTCTTTTTTTAAGTAATCAATTGTCGTGTCATTGGAAGAAGCATTATCGACTACTATAGAGAACACTTTGTCTATCCCCCACTCTCTCAAACAAATCTCAACCGCATTGCCAATTTCTAACCTAACATGACTAGTGATTTTTGTAAAATTGATTATTCTTTTGTGCAACTTCCACTCACTATCTAAAAAGTGAGCAGTGACCACCATGTAATTTATGTTCTGAATTAACGTCCATGTATCGGTTGTGATACTTACCCTTTGACCACTAATCACACGTTCTATCTTTGCTTTCTCAACTAAGAACACGGTTGTAAAATCATGCTCGCAACCTTTTCACTGTTAGGAATTTTGAACCTAGGTTGTAATTCA